CTCTCCCCCCCCCCCCCCCCCAGCCCTGTTTCCACAGGGGAGCTGGGAGAGCACTGTCCTAGGGAGAGCTATTTTGTGCGTGGGCCTGGCTTCTATGCCTTGTGCTGCTGACCCTCTCTATGTCCTTCTGCAGTATACATCTTGTGATACTGGCCTGCTTCATGGGGAGCTCAGGGTTTAATAACCAGAGCGCTTTCCCCCCCCTTTTGCATAGATTGGGAATCTCATCTTTTGATGGTTACACTGAGCTTTTGTTCCATTATCGAAAACCCCTTGCTCGCTAGTTTGCCAGGGTGCTGCTGTAGTTTGCTAGTTATTCATAACACCATGGATCTTAAAGCTGTGCTGGATCTCTTCTGTGGATAATAAAAAGCTGCTTAGCTTCATAGATAACCCAAGCTGTTTGATTTAACTTTTGTTTCTAGCTCATTGTATTTCAGAAGCTTGCAGAATGTGTTGTTTTCAAAAATAGTAAGGTGATGTTGTTCCTTTTTGCAGCTAATATTTATCGACATTTTTGTTTGGAAAACTCTGTTGGACCTCATAAGATACTTATTGAGAATTACATTAATATGTACAGTACTAATTTCTTATTGACATAATTATCAGTAATAGACAACAGAAGTTGTCCCTAAGTCCAATAGGCTATGTGCATCTAGTGTGTCTAGTCTTATGGAAAACTTCCATAAGAATTCTAGAGCAAAATTTAGCTGTGTGTGTGTGGGTGGGGGAGTAGGGGTGGTCATAAAAGTAATTCTGTTCATATGAGACTTTGTGTTTAAAGAAATAAGACAAACACAAAAGTTGAGCCAAATTTTAAATTGGCATTCTTGCTGAAATGTTCACCAACAGCAAATCAAATGTACCGTATATACTCGAGTATAAGTCGACCCGAATATAAGCCGAGGCACCTAATTTTACCCCAAAAAACTGGGAAAAAGTATTGACTCGAGTATAAGCCTAGGGTAGGAAATGAGGCAGCTACTGGTAAATGTAAAAAATGAAGATAGATACCAATAAAATTACATGAATATTTATTTCAAAGAAAAACAATAACCTAGCTCTGTAAGTGCAAAAGGGGGTCAACAAAAACAATATGGTATCAAAAATACCATAACTTTAAAAGTACAACAACCTTAGCTCAATCAGCAACCAAGCTAACACACAAGAGCTAAAATCCTTCAAAACTGGAGTTCTCCTCCTCATCATCTGTATGTCCAAACAGAGCTTCAGCTGGTGTGAGGTTATCAGCATAGACATTGTCATCATCACTGACAAACTATTATGGAGTAGTTTTTTAAGAAAGCATATTGGAATGTATTTAACTCACTTAGAAGCAGTCCCAGCTCTACGAACATCAAAATGCAGTATGTAGAAAAAGTAAAAAAAAAAAATAGTAAATCTGCCCTCTTCCACAACAAGTAAAAATAGCACCTAATGTAGCATCATTGCCAATCTACAGCAGCTATTCAAGTACATGAAAGTTTAAGTAAAATACTTCCAACTTAATCTTAGAAATGTTTTATACCCTTTTAATATATCATTTTTTAAAAAGTTCCTATAAAGCTACATGTGGCATTTCATTTCTTTTCACAAGTTTTAGGAACTGAACTGAGCACTTTTAATATGCTCTGGATTATAAATTCTCTTTAAAAGTTTATTGTGAAATACTGGCAAAACCAATTGTCATTCAACTGGTATATAAACGAGACCCAAGAGTATAATGAATTTCTATCTACAACATTTAGTCAAATCCACCAGGGAAGGGCAGTAATTTCTTTTAAAGTAGAACCCTTTAATTGTTCCTACGTACCTTCCAATATTCAGTTGTATTAAATACATTTCTTCAGACAATTGTCCTAGTATTCAGTCTTTCTTGTGTTTAGTGCACTAACAATCTGGCGTAAGTTACTGTACTAATATGAAACTATTCAGCAGTTTGACAGATTAAATATTTTTAATAAAACAGTACAGGCAGTCCCCGGGTTACGTACAAGATAGGGACTGTAGGTTTGTTCTTAAGTTGAATCTGTATGTAAGTCGGAACTGGCGTCCAGATTCAGACACTGCTGAAACTGACCGCCAGTTCTGACTTACATACAGAATCAACTTAAGAACCCCAGGCGTCCCCAAGTCAGCTGCTGCTGAAACTGATCAGCAGCTGATTCCAGGAAGCCCGGGGCAGAGCAACTCTGCCTGGGGCTT